AATATTTTTTTAGATACTCAACAGATTGAATTAACTATACCAGATGACTTACCTGAATAAGTTAAATCTTGTCATTTTATTATGTATTGAAATTATTTTATTTATTTAGTTACTATAGTTGTGATATTAAATATCTTGAGAAATGAAATTAGTTACTTATATTTAATTATAGAACTTTTCACAATTATTTATATGCGCACTAAAATAATGATATATACAAAAAAAAAAATGAATGTAATTTTTAATTTTTAATAATCATTGTCCATACATAGATCAATGTTTTCATTTTTATATGTAAAACTCCGAACGGGTTGGGTTCGGGTTTGGCCTGAATGTTTTAAAGGCCAACCCGAGACCGACTCGAAAATTTCGGGTTAATAAGAAAGTTTTGTGATTTAAATAATGATAAATTTAGATAAGTATTAATTAATTACAAAAGGCGAAACAGTTATATTGGTTTAAAAGCTGCAAATGGTGTTATGCGTGATGCAAAACACAATCCGGGATGCAAGATATGTAGGATGCAATTCGCAAAATAATTTGTGACGCAAGACATAACTCAAGGCAATTTGTGACGCAAGACGTAATTCAAGACAATTCGTGATGCAAGACGTGACTCAAGACAATTTGTGAGGTACGCAATGCTAGTGGTGGTGGCTGGGACTAACCCACAGTTTGGGCAATTTTGGTTTAAGCTTAATTTCGCGGCGAAGTTGGTAAAACCTAAACTGCGGGCGAAAACCAAGCAATCAATTTAAACCCTACTGTTTAATTTCCGACTACAAAAGTGTTTTTATTGAACAAAAAAAAAAGAATTTGATTTTCTTAATAAATATATAAATAAATAATAAAAATGCGAATATAAATATTAAAACAAGAGAGACTACATAGATCACATGCCCGACATACGATTGGACGGCACTTCGATAAATCCGTTTTATTTATAAAACTTTGCTCATAAGTTTGACAATTTAACCACAGTTTAGGAGATTACCCATAGTTTAGGCAATTTTTAAGTTCTGTCACTAGTTAAAAGCCTAAATTCCTAATTTCTGTAGGCGAGACCACTTCGGATTTGCTAAAATAATTTCGGACAATCGTGATGATGTGTATGAATTAATTCAAACTTTAATCACGTATAAAACTCTTTATTTATTGCATGAGAACTTTTTAATTTTTTAATGTAACATAAATGCTTCATGGCCAAAAAGGGTTTGTTAGCTAATAAATTGTCATGAAACATGTTTGCACCATGAATTGAGACTTGCATCACGAATTGCATATTGTGTCAGTTGTATAAAATCATGATAGCAGATTTTTGAGATTTTTGATTTTTTTAATTGCAATATAATAATTTTGACCACAAGTATAATTGCACAGTCCAAAAAGTTTCGGATCGGGTTAACCTGGCCCGTTCGGAGCTTTATTAATTATGATTATACAAATTTAGGAATTAAAAAAATTTTTGGCTTTGGGTTTTTAAAATTATTTGTAGAATATCCACCATCTGATTTTAAATTTACCTAAATTACATACACGGGTGATGCACACAAGTTCATTGATTAAAAGATTTGGTGTTATTAATGAATATATGGGGTATGGACAATAGAAACGTGTCCAACGTCAAAAATCACGATTTTGAGATATCGAAAAAAAACGATCTGCATTTCAAGTAATTTACTTATTGTTTTTAAGAACTTTAACAGAAAATATCTCAAAATTTTATTAAGCAAAGTAGTGAATTCAATATAGGGGTGCCATTAACTCAAATTCGTCCTCAGGGACGTTGGTCACGTTTCTTATTGTCCATACCCCATATAACAGAACATATGAAATTTTGCACAAATATTATATAAAAGATCCACACAAGTTCTCAAATAAAAAAGAAGAAATGAAACAGATATTAAAAAAGGTGGTATTTAAATATTTATTTAAAGAACATAATTTACTGTCTAGGATATAGTCTAATCAATTGGTTAAAACATTCATAAAACCCAAACCCGACTTTTTGGCTAGTGTATCTAATGATTATTTATTTATTTTGTGGGTAAAGAGTTTTTTAACATCAGGAAAATAAATCTTACGTAAACCCACATAGGGTTCAGAATTGGCCAGCATTATGTCGATATTTTGGTAATTCTGTTAAACATTTCCGCATAATGCTGGTCAGTTCTAAACCCTGCGTAGGTTTACGTGAGATTTATTTTCCTGATGAAGACCATCAAGAAGGAACATTGAAACAAAGAAATCAAACTTTCTAATAAATATATTGAGACAAGTTATAAAGAAATGGATAAATTACTTTATTCAAAATACTGTAAAAATGATAAAAGAAAAATCCCACGAAATTCAATCATTAATAAATAATCTTTATTTTAATTTAAAGGCACATGGTAAACAAAGCATCTATAAGCCGTTCTTCTATATAGAAACACATTGTTTTAATGTTTGTTATCTTGCTCTTTCTAGGTTATAGCCATATTTTCATTAAACTTTTACGGGGACCTTGGCCAATTTTCATGGGAAAAAACCAATTTTGGATGTGATATTGTCCGAATTGGCCATCCTCTTTGGGATGCTAAACAAAATATAGGTCAAGTCAGATCTCAAGATATAATTAGTCTTTCGAAATAGAAGCTTCTAGGCGATGTTGTTCCTTGGAAAAACCTCAAGGTCAAAAAACAGCTTCCTTGCAAACGTTTTTTTAGTGCGAAGACTAGAAAGTTTATAAATTACCCTCTTACCAAATTGACTTTCAATTTTATTTCGGAGTTTAACATTGTCTTATTCTCCGAGAAAAATATTGAATCAACTATGAAGTCAAATACTATCCAAAGTAAACAATTTAATGATCAATTATATTTTATCCAAAGTGGAGAAGAAAGAAATGATTCAATCGGATGTCCTAGAAAAAGTATGATTCGGAGAACACTCTTATATTTTAGCTTGACATTTTGATACTGATGCAACATATAGTCATATTAGAAAATAAATATTATTGGCCAAAAATGTACAAATTGTAGAAGATACGTGATTTATGTCAAAGGCGAGGAAGACCAAAACGAGTGTGGGAAACCCATTTGATAGAATCGGAATAGATATTGAAACTACTCAAGGAAACAAACACCAAATGGATTATAGTATTTAACCAAATGGCTTTAATTCCTGATATTAAAGCAAAATTTGTCTATGAAGAAACCATTTGTAGACATGGAACGCCAAAAGTACTGTTATCTAGTCGAAGAGTTATCATTCCTAAATGAAACTGTAGGTTCTTTGTGTAAAGTAATGGGTAAAAGTCATGCTCTTGCATCTCAACATATTTTTCCCAGACAAATGGATTATCAGAACGATTTTATGCGAAACTATTGCTAAATGTACCGTACAATATGGAGGATATTGGGATCGATTTATACAATCTTCATTGTTCGCATACAGAGCTAAACAACAAAAATCTACAAATTCATGTCATTTATTTAAATGTATGGAAGAAAAGAGATAATGAAGAAGATGGTTAATCAACGAACAAGTGAAACACATCACTGAAAGGCTGAAAGGTGCAAGAAAAAAAGTGAAAAATAATATAAACAAGACGCAAGGAGACAAAAAGGAAAAAAGGCTTGACAAGAAAGTAAAGCCACAAAAGTATAAGAAACCATTTGATAGTAGTAGCTCACAAAGCCTGCATGAGACAAATCTAGGGAAACATGAGCAGGTTGCTTCTTATATCCATGAAGCTTGGAAACACGAGAGCTACAAATTGAGAGAAATAGAAAACGAAAGAAACAGGTAAATGGTACTAGGTTGAAAGAATATTAGATAGAAACTTACTAATAGCAAATTTCATCACTGAAATCACTTGTCAGAATACTCAAATTAATATTGGTACGTATGATGTTATAGATAAAATTTATTATAAGTTATACTACAATTCAAATAATTTTGAATATAAAAAAATTCAATGAATATATTTCATTAAATACATATTAAATTATTTTAAGCCGTCGTTTCAGCTAAATTATATGAAAGTAGAAAAATATTGATTAGTATTGTATGAACGAAGTAGAAAATTGGTCGATACCCAGGCAAGTTTATGTGTGTGTGTTTGTATTTATAAAAAAAAACAATAAAAAGATATTTTAAAAATTATTTTTATAAAAAAAAACTTTTTATAATTTGGCCTTCCTACCCGAGTCAATAAAACCAAGTTCCAATAGTCTTCCAAAAGCTGCAGCAAATGCCCTAAAGAATGCTTCTTGATTATTGGCAAATTCTTCAACATGTCCTCTAAATCTATCGTCAAGTAATGCCATATCAGATGGTAACATCATGAGCCCCCCTGCTTCGTACTGAAGAGCTCCACTAGACTCAACTGTCGCTTCTTGCCAACCCGGTTTTAATAAATGTCTAAAACTTTTTTTTTTGAAGGAAAAGTAAATATAAATAAATACATATACATATACTTTAAAAAACAATATTTTATTAAATCTAAAGTGATAACTTACAACATATTTGTAAAAGTCGTTGGAGAATGTGTCCATCTACCCTCATAACCCGAAGTTTCTGGATGACAATGACCAAGTGAATGTGCGCCTATCAAAGCGACGGTTTCACTAATGAACAAAAAATAGTAGATTCATTAACCACATGAATTACATGATCATACCACAATGAGTGTCATAATTATTTACCGGTTATTGAAACCCATTCTAGAAAAAACAGCTTCTATATGATCTGCACCTTTGTCAGCATCAGGTAAACGACCAGGGTCTGGGACTAACGACTCTTGAGTTTGTATATCTATATCTTTGCGGCCAGGAGTCCATTGTACCTCCGGTCCCTTCATTTCTTTTATAGCAACAACTCCTGCTAGAGTCCAAATATCTGCGTCTATTATCATTATAGTTAAAAAAAAAAAACTAGAATTATTATTATTTTAAACATTTTTTTTTTGATTTTCAAAATTAAAAATGAATATAATTACAAGATACTTCAGGAAATTTTTCTTTGATTTTTTCTAGTTCATCTCTTGCTAACTTTAAACCGTTATTAGCACCGTCATTAGCTTCTTTAGGGCATCGCATAGTGGCACCATTAGAACCACCAGTCTTAGTTATTTTATCAAAAGTTCCAGAGGCATGCCATGCTAAACGTACAAATAGAGGGGCGAGAGTAGCCTTATCATTGCCGCCCTTCACTGGAATAAGTTCCCTGATTGCTTCACGAACTTCATTATAATCAACTTGAGACATTTTTTATTTATTTATTTATTTATTTATTAATTGATTAAATTTTTTTCGTTAAAGGGAGAAAATTTTGATGATAGATAAATGGATGAAATAGATGATAGATAAATTATATGTTTAATATATATAAAAAAAAGTTCTTTTAATATACATTTTGGCGTTTATTTATTTTACTTGATTAGGCAATATAATGAAGAATTTATTGATAACCTAATTAAACTAAATGAATCCTTCCTTTATTTTTTAAATGAAAGATAATCAATTACACCATAAGAAAATTCTCTTTGTGTATCACAATAGGCAATCCTTTTTTTGTTTAATAGTAATTCCCTTTAAGAAAGAAAAAAAATTTTTAAAGTTGACAAATGAGTTTTCACGGGAAATTCTTTGTTTGAATAATAATTTGAAATTCACATATTTGATTGGTTAATTATTTTTGGCTGTCAAATTTTTAAAAATACCGCTTTCCCTAGTGTGTATATTTTGAACTACACGACTAAACTTGGTAATGATTTTTATTTAATTAAACTTTATTTATTTTGTTAATGGGAAAAAAAAATTATTACATAAAATTTAAAATTATTACAAATGTATGTATAATAATAACAATTGTTGTGCGCAGCATAGTGGACACTGTTACAGATCACAAAAAAATGATCAACATAACATATGTTATAAAAGTGTGAGATAATTTTGATCTTGCTGATGATCTGGACTTAGAGAGGCTACAGCTATATTCTAGTAAAGTTTCAGAAGCAACGGGCTCTGTGTAACCGCCTGCCTATTATACAAATGACTGTTGCACAAAATGAGTGTCCATTATGCTGTTGTGCGCAGTGTTCGAAATTCGACTGCGCCCTATCATAAAACTAATCTAATTTTAGAAATTAACTGCGGTTAATTTCTATATTTGGTTGGCGCGCGCCGGTTCCGCCGAACACTGGTTGTGCGAACATGGTGGACATTCCTTTTATATTATTTATATTATGTTGATCATTTTTCAATTGTTTTAGAATAGACTATGGGTTACACTAATGAGGCGGGTGCAATAACAACTTTAAAATTTTACAAGTAACAATTTTTATTTCTTGATTGCAAGTCATTACTAAAATGCCTGTTGGGTTTTGTTCCGTTTGCAAAATAGAAAAAGATGACTCTAAGTGGCGAAATATTTCAGAACAAGGAAAAGAAAAAACTGAACTAGTGGGTTATGAATTAAATATAGGCGAAAGAATATGTTCTAATTCTTATATAGCATGTGATAGATATAATAGATATAAAAGAAAACCTGAAGATGCAACATATAAATGAGAAAACCAATTGAAATGGAAGCAAATACTAATTTTTGTTTACAAAATCAAATTATAGAATTAAAAACAGAATTAGAAAAGATTACTAGACCATCAAGTCAACATATTAAATGTGATTAAATCTTAATCAAATAAATTAATTTTATTATTATTAATAAATGATTAATTTTTACAATTTTCTGATTTTTTTATGATCAAATAAATAAAAATGATCAAAGAAAGAGAGATCCTTCGTTAAAAGGCTTTTTTGATATGCTATATCAAAGTATAGCCCTTCTTCAAAAAATTCCTCTACAGAAATAAGTCTAAAAAGAAAAGTAATGATTCTGTTACCAATTATTTGTCCAGTTTCGATTCCTGCTGTGATTACGATGATAATTGCATATTAATTTGTGGTCATGAATATTATTATCAATCTTCAAGATCTACAGTTTAAATGTCAACATTGTCTTTTAAAGATTGATCAAGATTTAAATCATCTTTCAAAATTAATTCTTCAGACCCCTCCAATTTAATATTATCTTCATTATATATAGTATTTTCATCCTCTTCTTCATCTTCACCTAATACAGATATATCATCTAAACTTTCTAATCTATTATTATATAAGTTTTCCTCAATGCCATTCAATAATTAAGTAAATTTTTTGTGGGAACATTTTGATTTTGTGGAACAAATGAATGCTGGTTGTGCGTGAAAACGTGAATTGCAAATTAGCCAATCTGAATTTCCAAAATTTCAATTTCACATAATTTCGATTGCACATACAACAATAATAAATAAAGTTTGGGAAGCAGTTTTGAAGCTTGAGTCATGATTTTAAAAATTTTAATAGTGAAATACCCACACGGGAGCCTGCAACCCATATAAATTTTTATTTTATTTTTTATATTTGTCACTTGAAAATAGTGCACTAATCTTATGCAGATCCTGATAGCCAACAATAATATACTATCAATTATAATAAAAAACCTAAATCTTGATATTTTTTTAATAAATCAATACTTCCACGAACACTGAGTATTTTAAATGGTCTAGGACCTCTCCAATTCTTCATCAAACTATCTAAAGACTCGTCTTTAGAAATATCAACCTTAACTTTAAAAATTAATGTATTCAAGTTTTTTGGTAATGATTGGTTTAAAACAGCCAATATTTTATCACCATTCAATGTATAATCGTACACAAAGATATTAGTAAATGTGATATGTTTTAATTTGAAGCAATTATTAAATATTTCCATTAAATATTTATCTTCTTGATGATTCCTGTAACATATTGATAGAAATTCTAAATTTGGACATTTTTGTCCAATCGATTTAATAATTAATCTTAAATAACCCCTGTCTTTTGGTGTAGCGCCTATTGTCAGATCTTTAAGACCATTTCCATTGAGCGTGATAAAATCTGACAAACAAAGTAGAAATAATTGTCTAGTAATTTCCACATTCAAAGTTTCAAGATTTGGGAGTGAAATATTTTTTATTTTTTTTAATTTGTCTTGAGTTGACTTACGACCATTATCAAATAATGACAATGATTTCAAATTTTGAAACTTTGATACTAAATAATCTAAACTATTGTTTCCAAAACTCTCATAATTAATGATTGATTTTGAATGAATAAGAATTGCTTTTTTTAAAACATCTGGTAAACTTACAGGGGAATTGTATGAATTTTTAATAACCAATTGTTTAATTTTATTTTGTGCCAAAATTAGTTGAGCTAGGCTGCAGGCCACATCGTTATCGTAACATAAATTAAAATCATCTTTATTACAATCTATTTTTAAAACTTGAATATTTCTACAAGTGATTGCTAATTCATCAAGAAGTTTAAAACTACCATAAATATTACAATCCAATTCATAAAGATTTCGAAAACAATCTTCAAATCTATGATGATATATCAGCCTTTCATCTCTTGAATAAATGGCCTTAAAATTTCTGACAGTTGAATGATCTAAAATAAAATTTAATAACATTTCTTCTAAATAATAATTTGGACTAACTATGATTTTTTGTAAATTTTTGCTAATTTTGCGAAAGTCTAATTCTGTTGTAAATCTAGCATATATTTTTTGTGAATTTTTACTAATTTCGTTAAAATCTAATTTAGTTGTGAATCTGGCGTAATTATATAATGGTTGTTTCCCCAAAAATTCAAATCCTTTTAATTCAATGTCATTTTCCATCAAGAAGTTCTTATCTTTTACTAATAAACAATTAACTAATATTTTAGTGCTTTTTTCAGAATAGAATGGATTTCTCCATAAAGTTAAAATATTGATACTATGCCATTGTTTATTAACAAGAATGCAAGAATATAATGTTTTATAATCTTCTTCAATGTATTTAAATATTTCAATTAAAAGTTCAGATGGTAGTAGCCTTATCATTGACATTTCATTTTTATTTTTAATATATTATTTTTTTAAAAAATAAAAATAAAAAATAATAAAATGAATAAAACGAAAATGAAATTTGTAAAACATCGTTTTGTATACTAATACACAGTGAGTCTCGGTATAACGGGCTCGGTATAGCGGATTTGGGGTTTAGCGGATAAATTTTCAAAACCAAATTTTTCTATAATAATAATAATAATAATATTAATGTTAATACACTCACTGGTGATTGATTGGTAAAATAGATCTTTTAGATTAATAACTCTCACTTGGAATGAAACAGTTAATAAGTGGTTATTAACTATTAGTAACTTGACAGAAAACTTGCAATGTGAAATTTAAAAGTGATAAAAATAGAAAACAAAATTTAAAACTTACAAAAATATATACTAATAAACCAATCACAGTGTAGGTCAAACCTTTGTTTTTGAATTCGACGCATAAGCAATTGATACATTATTAACAAGGGAGAAAAATAACTTCAAATATTTTTACCAAATTGTTGAGTTATTTATTATTAGAGAGGATTAATTAATTAAATATTAAAAACAGCTACTGAATTTTTTTAAAGCAAATGTAACTAACAATCTATAGAGTCACAGTAATTAATTATAGTGACAAATTCCTATTCATTACGGCAATAAAATTTAATATTGTCCCTATTATTCAATACAGCTTGATCAGTAGAGTATAAGTAAACACGTCCTGTTGACACACCAACTGACAAATAATTCAAATCTTCATTTGCTCTGATACATGTTATTGGGCTATCATGTTCTGGGAATTCGTATTTCAAACAAGTGGATGAATTATCTGACTTATTAATATCCCATAACTTAACAATACCATCTGAACCTCCAGTTAAAATCATGTTACTATTAATCCATTGAATTCCATTGATTCCTTCATATATCAGTCCATCATTTGGGGTAGTGTGAGGAAGCATTCGAAGTGGCTTGTTTTCATATCTTGTATCAAATACCCAAACTTTATTCCCCACCCCTCCCAATGCAATATATTGATCATCTGGTGAAAATGCAATAACATTTGAATCATATTCATTGGTTTGATATATTTTCTTTTCGTTAGATTCTAATTCAATCAAACGTATATTCCCATCACTCCTAACCTGGTCACTAGTTGATGTCACCCCACATGCCACCCGATATCCAGATGTTGACATTCCCAAGCAACTCACACTATTGTTACTGCCTATCTTATAATCAACTAACTTTCTTTTTGTTTCTATATCCCATAATCTTATAAAACCATCTTTCTGTGATTCAATTCCTTCAAAACCGGCAATGATGGTCTGATCAAAATAGTCAATACCATAAATTATGTCAACAATAGGTGGAGCAGTTGTTGTTTTTGTTTTCACTTGCAAAATATTTTTATCTAGCTTATAAGAATTACCTTCATCTGCGTTCAAACTAAAACATGTGATGCTGCCTGAATTGTCACATGACGCAAATTGATATGTGGCCTTAGATTTGTCATGTTTAACAACAATGCGATTTACAGTGCCTTCACATTCTACAGTTGCCAAGGGAGTACAAATTTGATCTTCTTTACCTATTGATGACCAGATAATAACTTTTTTATCAGTAGAACAAGAGTAAATAAATTTCCCTCCCTGGGAAAATTTCACATCCGTGACAGATTTCCATAGTTTTTCATTTGTAGTTTCTGTATGATAATCATAATGTCCTTGTAAGTAATATACAGTTCCTTTCCTAGCATCAAATAATTGTAAATTACCTGCCATATTATATTTTGGGTCATGATTTGCAATGTAAGCAATTGCAAGTTTAGGCACTTCATGATTTTTGAACTTTGAAATATGAATTGCCATTTCATTAACATCACCACTACCTTGATGGAAATCTATACACTGCAAATTTCCAAGTTTATCGATTGGTTCCAATTTTGATGTATCAATTTCAACTTCCAATTCCATACCACCATTATCACTGCAATCTTTTTTATTTTTACAATCATTACTATTAATATTGTTAATTTCTGGAACTATTGGTTGTGGTTCTTTACCTTTTTGTTTTAAATTTAATGGGAACCCATTTATAATTCTATAATCAAACTCATTATCATACATTTCAATTGTATTTTTTATATTCTTCAAAAATTCCTTGACATCATCATCATCAGAAAATAGATATGTAAAATTATTATTATTGCCGTTACCATTGTTATTATTATTATCATCATCTGTATTTAATATATCTGATAGGTCATCTAATGAATATTCAAAATATGCTGAACTATTATTGTTCTTGCTATCGTTACTGCTGTTACTGTTATTGTTATTGCTACTGATGTTATTGAAATTATAATAGGATTGTCCTTCTAATGAGTCTGTAATGAATTGATCAAATGGGTCATATTTAATAAAATCTTGACTATCGTCACTATCACCATCACCATCATCATCATTTCCTCCGTCATCAAGGATAATCTTATTATTATTATTATTATTAACACCACTCTCTTCAAAAATAATCCCATCAGATTCAATATAATCAATATTTTTTTTAATGTTATCGTTATTTTTGTTAGGTATATTAGTACTAGTAGTAGTAGTAACAGTAGTAATAGCAGTGGTTGTTGCTGTTGTTGTAATTAGATTAGTGACAGCAGTTACATTGGTTGCAGCAGTTATATTAGCAGGAGTAGCAATTTTATTTTTAGTAATTGGCAATGATGAACTCAAAACAACTATTTCTTCTTCTTCTTCTTCTATTAATTCTCTGCCTGATTCCTCACAAGAATCAGTTATAACAAGTGGATTAGATTCTGTACCTATCATAATACCGTCAACAAAATCATCATCACATTTATTAACTCCTTGTGGTTTTTCATCATCACTATCCAATACTATAACATAGTTAGTTTTTACTTCTTTCCATGCTTTCTTTTTCTTATTATTGTTATTATTACTACTATTAATTGATCTATTATAACAATCATATATTTGTCTCTTAATTGGGACAATTTGATTTTGTTGATTTTGTGATTGTGATGTTGATGCAACTGTATTTGTATTTGTGTTTGTGTTTGTATTTGTATTAAGATTTAAATATGGTAAAGCATTAATTAGTTGAGAAGAAGAATAGTCGATGTTGTTGTCAAATGATGCAATTAGTCTATTATTATTATTATTATTGGTTGCAGTGCTGGTGGTGTCAGTGGCAATCGTGATTTGTGATGAGGCATCAATAGTAAAAAGATTATTGTTATTGATATTGGTAATATTTTTCTTTTTTTCTTTTTTATTATGATTATTAAATGGAGAAAAATTAGCAAAGATATCATCAAGTTTGGTGCTGTTTAAACCAGAATCACAATTACTACTGCTAAAAGTAGCATTATTACTTCTACTGGCTATACTATTACTGCTGCCGCTGCTGCTGCCGCTGCTGCTGCTGCTGCTGCTGCTGCTACTGCTGCTATTATTAGAATTACTATTTTTAATTTGATCTTGAATTTTTATTGATTCTTTAGCAATTAAATTTTTGTGATTATCAAAAATTCTAGGTGTAAATGATGAAAAAGCATAGGAGGAAGATAACAGATCTTCAAATTTAAAATCTATTATTTCTTGTGGTATAGCATAATCATAACCTAAAATTTTCAAATGCTTAACCAAGTTTTTCATTTTTAAAATATTTTTTGACCATTTATTTTGTAAATCTATCAACTTTTTTGAATCCTTTTTAAGATATGTTTTAGATAATTCAGTGAAATCACAAAGTAAATCTGATATTTTATCTAGCTGATCATAAAGCCTAGTACAAGATGCCATCATTTCTGAATGTCCTGTCATGTTATCATCATTATTACCACTGCTACTTTTGTTATTTTTAGCAGTTCCAAAATACTTTCTTCTTACCAGTTCCATATCAATGTCATCCAACATAATGTTATTACGGTTGGTTGATCTTGATGATTGTTGCATTGTGTTTTTATTTAATTTATATTTTTTTTTTTATTTTAGGCCTAAAAGGTCACCGAAAATTTTGACCAGCCCGTTAGAATTAAATTCATTGTGATGTCTGTAGTGACATAAATTTTAGATCTTTACCAAAATTAGAAATTTAGAAGAATTTTTATGGAAAGTGTAGCGTGATCACAGCGAACAAAAATGATATGTACTAGAGAAAGTCAAACGACAATCAGACAAATCACGATTGAATGATAATAAATTGAGATTGATAAAAAAATATTGAATTTAATCAAAGGACAAGCAGAAATTGATGATAATTAAAAACTTAATAAATAAAAAAATTTTTATATTTTTTAAAAAAAGTATTGTTGGGAACCGGTTTGGGTATAATCGATTTAAACCCGGTTCCTATTTTTCATATTAATTAATATTCCAAAATGTACTTAATATTACGATTTATTCAGTTCAAAATCAATTTATTTATTTAATGTTTACAATAATACAATTTCTTCCAATTTATTTATACTGAATTGTAACAACAATTTCCGCAAATTAAGGTCCCGAACAAATCAAATCAAATCGAACCGAATCAAATAACCTAATTTTGATTCGAATTCGAATTGTACTTTGATTTGATTCGAACTCGACCACGTATCCAGTATGAATCTATATAAATCATCAGAAACGTCTCCTTGAACAACAATTTCTTCATTTCCTTGATTATTTTTCATGCAGATGATTCACACGCAAACAATTTTGCTGCTTTTCTCAATTCAATGAAATTTAAAACTCTTTTTCTGTAAATTACCAAAATGATGTAAACCATAAACATTTGTGATACTTGTTCGTTTATTTCGTGCAATACCTGTGATTAATTTGTTATTGTCATATTGATGTCAATATTTATCATTTTTTTTGTAAAAAAATTTTTTGTCGATCCTGATTGTCTCGACGAACTTTTGTTACAACGAATTTAGGTGGTCCCACATGACAAGGTTAGACTGTATATTGCTTTGTATTTGTGTGACATACAATTGTGGCTAAAAAAAAGTTTGAATAAAAAAAATTTTTTTTGGACAATTATAAAAAATGAAAAACACTGAAAATGAAAATAAACATCATGATGATACTATTGACAAAAATGATGATGAAGACCCATATATTAGAGAAAAATATTATGGGGAATGTCCAACCTGCAATAAATATAATACTGGTTGGTTATGGTGTCAATCATGTGATCCAAAATTATTAACTGAAGGATGGACTAGTGGCAATGAAACATTAGATGAGTTGATTA